ACCATTGCAATAGTCCAGTCTAGACATGACAAATGCATGGACCAGTTTTTCTGCACCATTTTTAGAAAAGATGTTTCTAATTTTAGCGATATTACGCAGGTGCTAGAAGGCGGTTCTAGTAACGTTTTTAATGTGGGGGATAAAAGACATGTCCTGATCAAAAATAACACCAAGATTTTTAACATTAGAGCTGGAGGACAGATTAATGCCATCTAAGGAGGGAGAAAGACTGAAAAATTAATTCCTAAGGTGCTCCGGTCCAAAAACCAAAACCTCAGTCTTGTCTGTGTTCAAAAGGAGAAAATTAAGGGTCATCCAGATTTTTATGTCTTTAAGACATGCTTGTAGTCCAAGTAGCTGATTTGATTCATTGGGTTTAATGGACAAATATAATTGCCTGTCATCAGCATAACAATGCAAATGTTTCCCATGCTGTTTAATAATTTTACCTAATGGAAGCATATATAAAGTAACGAGTATTGGCCCAAGCACTGAGCCCTGAGGAACTCCATGACTAACTTTAGTGTATGAAGAAGATTTATTATTTACATTGTAGAGGAAGGGGTCCTCAGATCGTTGAATTTTGATTAATAATTTTATTCTGAAAGGGGCACCACTTGCTTTCCGGTTCTTAAGCAAGAAAAATATGAAATCAGACTCAAGTTTACTTGCTATAGTGAGTTCTATTCATATTAAATTCAAATGTCATATATAATAAAAACTCTTTGAGTCAAAGTACAATTTTATGAAGTTTATTATCGATTTTGGTAAATATAAGTGATCAAAATGATGAGTACAGCTGAAGAATGAATAATGGCCTTAATTTGACAACACAAGAAAAGGTTATGGAATTATCTTCTAAACTTTAATATGGTGAATTATGAGGTTCAAAAGCAGAGTAAATTATCATCTATAAAGTTAACTAAAAGAAGTGTTTTGGCTAGATGTGATTTGTCAATTTAGGAAAACTTAATTCTTATTAATACTGATGAATTTTGTTTAGACTGGATAACTTCTTATCTTGAGCACCAGACACCAGCAGAGAGAAGGAGCATCTTTTCTTACCGATTTGAAGTTCTAGTTCAACCGCCCTAGGGTTACCAGGGACTCTCTTGAGATGAGTTAAGCGTCGAAGGTGGGATATCCCTCGACAATGGACATCAGCTGAAATCTGGAGTTGATAGTTATCTGGCTCCCAGTGGGGTCAGTTGATGCGCTCCCGGAGGGCTTCGTTTTCTCCTTCTGGTGACAAGGAACCTTTTGGTGCTTCCTTGAAACACGAGACAAATCTCTGGAACACTTGTCTCTTTTCTGCATGAACTTCTTATCTTCTGGCATAAATTTCCGATTGCTTGACCTTTCTTCAAAAGCTTTGCCAAGACTGCTCTAAACTAAACGTCAGAATAACTTTCTCTGACTTAGAAGGCATTACAATATTGATGGTCAACCCAATCAAAACAGAAAGGGTGGACCTTTGTTTCAGGTTACTGTTTCATTTGAACTTTAATAACACTATTAAAAATAAAAGGCTAATTTACTCTGCTTTGGTAAATACTCAATATAACAGCAGGATAATTAAAACTTCTAAGCAGTTTTTACTCATCCATAAACATTTTCGTTAGAACTTGTGCAAACAACAGTTGAAACCTCTGATTACCAGTTTTTACATCTACTTTCTCTTTCTCTACCGTTGGCAGACAGCTAAGTCTGTACCCAAAGTGTTCCTTTTGTTTTGAGAATAGCAGACCTCTATGTCAAAACTCTGTAAGGCCATAAGCCATGAAGCCACATGTGCGTTTGTTACCACACCATCTCTTATGCGTTGGCTGTTAAGAAAAGTTACCGGTTGATGTCTCCACATTAGTCTTTTGTCCACCTAGGTAGTTAGAGAAACATTTCACTGCCCACACCATGGCTAACTGTGCTTTCTCACAATGTACTTTAGTTCAGGGCCTGCCAGGGTTTTGCTGGCGTAGGCCACCACACGTTTGTCTTGGTCATAGAGTTGGTACAAACCAGCACTCAAGCAATGGGCTGAAAAACCAACTTCAAGGTGGAAGTCTCTGTCACTGTTGGGATATGCCAGACATGATGCTGAGCACAGCTTATCCTTGAAAGCATCCATGGATTACTATTGTATGTCAGACCAAAGGAAAGGCACATCTTTCTTGAGGAGTTCGGTTAAAGGTTTTGCCAAATCAGCGTAGTTCTCCATGAACTGGCGTGAGTAATTAATTACAAACACCAAGGACACTAATTAGTTCAGTGAGGTTAGAGGGTGTTGTAAGGTTGGCGAGACCTTGGACTCTACTAAGTTTGGGTTGTACACTGTCGGGACCTACAAGGAGACAGACGTATTCAACTTTAGCTTTGCACCATTGGCACTTCTGTAGTGATCCAACCTCCTCTTGAAGTCCTCCACAGTTTGCTTGTGAAACCCCCAGGATGAACAGTGGACTGCTGGTTCATCGTTCTGGATCCTGGACACAAAATCATCTCTTTAAGAGAACTTTCAATTGACTCAAGTCATTTAATCATAAGCCATTTAATCAGACATTCTAATCAATGTGTTATGATTCATGAATGAATAAGAAAAGAGGAAAATCAGCAATTTAATTTCTGTCTTTTTCTCTGTGATTATGCTACAACAGTTTTAAGTGAGTAATGATTTTTAATCCTCATTCAAAGTAGAAATCAAGTTAAATGTCTATGTTACAAAGTAATTATGCATTTTGATCTTCTGTCTGAAATGAGAAAGGAGTGATGTCGGTCAAAAGTCGGAGACAGTCGCAAACAAGTTATTGGAACGAACTGTCATGTTTTTAAACCTCTCAGACAGAAACAAGAAAACTGGCACCTGTAAGTGTCATTTCTCCAAAACATTTCTCTCTGTTCCTAAACATCTCCGCTGTTTTTCTGACTTGTAGTGACCCTCTGACGTCACTAAAACCACACCCCTGTTGGTTCTTTCAACCAATCAGGACTTCCTAAAAGTGACCGGAAGCAGAACTCTTTAAAAGTCGACACTTCCTAGTTCCAGTTAGTTCTGGGGGGAGAACAGAAGTTCCAGGAGAACAGAAGTTCCAAGAGAACAGAGAGTTCTGCTGGAGAAGGAGACGAGTGCGACTTTACAACTGAAGTCCACGGTGGTCATTTTCTGAAAGATGACACCTGTCTGGAGCGTTGATTCAGGTCATCACGCCAAAGACCTATTCAACATCTCAGGAGTTCAGCACGTTTGCTGAAATTCCACTTAACTTAACCCTATCCTTCGGGGAGTTTATTTTGGAAGCTGGGCCAGTCAGCCTCGTGGTCCCAAGTTGATGAGAAGCGGATATGAATCCCTGGAGATAAACAGACTCAGCCTTGCTGGACGCCAGGAGAAGACCTCTCTGAAACCCCACCAAGGTAAAGAGTCGACGCTCGGGTACCATCTAGCTGAAATCACCGGGAAACGTGCTATCTGGTTTCAAACAAGATAACTCCCCATCTTTTCTTTATTATCTTAGTTAACCCTAAGTATCCACTTTCCCTTCTTAAACTTTACTCCATCTCTATATTTCTCTGCCAGTAAAGATAAGCTTAAAAGCCTGCAGACATTAATTTAAGATCTAAGGATATGTCTGTTGTTTTTATTAAGTAAAACGTGCCAAGTTTTATTAATCAGAGCCGATCAGAATAATCAAGTGTACAATGTTTTGATGTTAAATTTTGATTCTGTTAATAAATGACCACATTCATTTTGATGGGTCAAAGAAAATTAACGTCTCATGTCACTGATTAGACCATCTCCAACACAGTACCTCTGTCACATATCTGTCAAGTAGTTCGAAAAAGAGAGAACCCGTTATTAAATATTGATTGTAGTGGAGCTCCTAAGCTAACTGAAGCTAACCTAACCCTACATCACTACACTTCAAAAGTGAGATTTTTGCACAAACAGCTGTGAGTTGATCCAGCACGTGGTCAATCTCAGCTAAATGAGCATCAAGCGTGGGTTGTCGTAGAAGGATGTCATCTACGTAGATGAGGGTTTCACGTTCTCCTGCATCAGGGCACACTTTAAGAATATGTTGAACTCAGCTGGTGAGTTTGCATAACCAAAAGGACATCTAGTGAAGATGTATTGGCGACTGGCAAAGGTGAACGCCAATTTGTGTTGGTCGGCTATATGTACTGGGATCGTCCAGAACCCAGAAGCCACATCAAGTGTGGAAAAGTACTTGGCTTTGGTCACCTTAGGAAGTTCTTGTTGGAGCTGAGTCATCGGCCACCTGGAAAGAGGAACCTGTTGGTTCAGTCTTCGGTAGTCGATGGTGAGTCTCCATTTGCCGTTGGGTTTGAGGACAGGCCATAAAGGTGCAGAGTAGGTGCTTTTACATGGCCTGGTTATTCCTTTTTCTAAAAGATTGTCAATAATCTCTTGTACAGGCTCATAGTTAGAGATAGTTAGAGAACCAACCAATGGTGTGATCTGAGAAACCAATTTCTGAGAGCTTATGACACAAGATGTTATGATCCACAGTGTCAAAAGCTTTAGACAGGTCTAAGAAAAGTGCAGCACAATAATCTTTAGCATCCAATGCTTCAACAAAGAACCTTCAGTGAAGCAGTCGGGAGTAATCAGAGTAGTTACTTTGGGCCGATTTAGTTAAATAAGAAAGACTTCTTGTTTGGAGGCTGGCTTCACCACAGAAATGCACAGTATTATGTGCACAAATTCATAGTATTAGCCACAGTCAGCAAATTATGTCCCTATAATGACAATATAATGGCCAAATACAATCAAAAGTATATTTTCATTCTTACCTGTGAAATGTAACACCATTAGATCTGGTTTGTGCTGTAAACCAGTTGTTACAATTTCACACAGCACATGAATAAGGCATCTTAGATCACTTCACTTTTGCCGCATTTAAAATGGTGGTGACGTGGACGTGCAATTCTGCGCCCAGTGGGGAGTTTACGTATTTATGTCTGTTTCCTGTGTTCCTGTGTAGTTACGACTTTTGAACCCCGATGTCTCCATCTCTCTTGAAAATCTCTCTGACATTTATGACCTCTTCAAGGTATCTTTTTTAATTAATTATGTATTTTTTACAAATGAGTTTCACATATCTTTTCAGAAAATTATGTTTTTAATGAGATCCCCTGCTCTCTTTCCTTAGACAGAGCACTTCATCAGTCTGTACTGGGGCGACAATAGCTCTGCAGCAGCAGCAGAAGCAGCAGCTTGGCAGTACAGTGATGCCAGCCGCTCCTTTGTCGAGCGCCAGTACAGAGTGGACCGCCCCCAGTTTAAAAGCCTGTATGGGCTGCTGGCGCCGTGGCCCTCCGTCTCAAACCAACACAGCGACACGTTGGCCAACCGCACCTTCATCCTGCTGGACCAGGACTGTGACAACCTGGTCACCTTCAAAGAGTTTGCCAGCTGGCTGGGTAAGAAGGGCGATCATAGCTGTAGGAAATCCTATTTAAATCAAAACAAGAATAAAATGTCTCTTTTCTTTTGCAGACACTCTGTACTGTGAGGAGCTGAATGATAAAATACGGCTGCTGTATCGCCTTCATATCCCTCCAGGTTAGTAACTGAAAATAAAACAAGTTAGAGCTGTTTGTAATGTTACATTTCACAGTATTCTTCTGTCTGCAGCTCTGACTGAAAACGAAGAAGACTCGTCCCTCAGAAGCCCCCTGCTCTCTACAAACAGACCTCTCTACGTGGAGAACGAGCACTCAGGTTAGTCCAAACACTCCAACTGGCCGGCTGTTGTTGCTTAGTGGCTAATTATATTTAGATAACCCTGGAAGTGAAAGATATACTGATTTCTAAAAAGCACTAACCTGACATGTGTAAAATGTAGGAAGAAAATATTTGTTTATATATATTTTATGATGAAAAGAAAAGGCCTTTCATGTCACGTATCACAGATTTTAAATTCTTTGTCTTGTCTTTGAAAATATTGTTTTATTACTTCAAAATACATACATTTTAAACAAACAAAAAAAAAACCCTTTTCATGATAAAAAAAAAAAAAATTAAATTGATTTTCCACATCTTTTTTTTTATATTTGATTAATACGTGAGTTCATTGTGTTTATGTTGGCCACGTGTTACACATGTGCTCTGGATGTATGGCAAAAACACCTGTCTGTGTTTCCTCTGTGAAGGTTTGATGACTCAAACCCATTTATTCCACTATTGAATAGTGCTTGTGTTTTAGACACAAGTGTGTGTTCTCATTATGTGTTAGCACTTCAACCTGAGGAGGACATGCAGCGGTATAAAAATAAGCTTGTGCATGATGGATACAGCCTGCCAGACCCGTATTTTGTGAAGACCGGCTGGACAGACAAAATGAACAAAATGGCCAGCTACAAACATGCTGTGTATCATAAATGATCTGATATAAATCCCTGAACCTTTCGTCAGAGAGTTACTGAAAGCCTACACATCGCTAGACACATTCAGTTATTTTGCCTGTGGACATGTGAAGGGGTTACTATACCATGATGTGAGCCACAGTAGATCTGTGTAGATCTGTCATTTCTAACCCAGGCTCGGCCCAACCCAAAATTTGGGCCAGGACTTTGATGCGGTTTTACGAATCATACAGCACAAAGGAAAATAAATAAGGATGCACAATATAAAATTGTGTTAATCTACTTTTTGAGGAGGCAGGTCTGACTGGCCAGTTGAAAGAGATAAAAATGTCCAGTTAAGCTTCAGATGAATCAGATGAATCAGCTGATCACCGGCCGTGCGCATCTCTGCACCTGCTGTGATCTGCTGTGAAGGAAGTAGCATCTACAAAAGCCAAAGTGAGCAGTGCATTCAATTAAAATAGGCTCGTTTATATTTTTCCAAATAATTTTGCTCAAAAAATATTTTTGTTCATCTGTATAATAGCCTATCTTTAGAGTTGATTTTTAGGCTATTCATTTTGTATGTTAATATCCATTTGGTGAAACAAGAAATCTTGTATCTTCCTTTCTTTGAAATAACGTTTTTAAAGTATGTCCAACTGATTTGCTTACAAAAGCAGTAAAAGCTTAATAAGAAAATCTCCTGATGCATGCTCAATAATCCAGGTAAAAAAAATCTAAAAAAGTTAAATCTGGTCCTCTGGACATTCAAAAAACAAAACAAAGCAAAACAACAAAAAATGTACAAACGTTTCGTCTTTAATCCGAAAGACTTCCTCAGTCTCAGGTGCTGTATTCCCAAAATACATTACCCCAAAATACATTCTGGCAAAGACTGGTTCATCTCAAAGATCCAGTCCCCCAGCACAAACAGAGTAATATTGTGTATGCTGTTCAGTGTCAGGAGGGTGATCAGTCTTACATCGGGGAAACTAAACAGCCACTGGCCAAAAGGATGGCCCAGCACAGAAGATCAACATCATCAGGCCAGGACTCTGTGGTCTACACTCTTCTCCAGGCCAGCGGTCACTCTTTCAGGGATGAAGATGTTCACATCCTGGACAGAGAGGAACGATGGTTTGAGAGAGGAGTAAAGGAGGCCATCTTTGTCAAAAGAAATCGTCCATCATTAAACAGGGGTGGAGGCCTCCGGGTTCAACTGTCCCCCTCTTACAATGCTGTGATTGCTAGTACCACTCAGCCCTCTGTGAATAGTAAACAGCCATCAGTGTGCTAATGATCCATTGTTAGGCTGATGGTCCTTCTTGATCATGTGAGCAGCTGGTTTTGGTTGTCAGCAGCAAACTGGTTGATCCACTCTGAGAAGGTGCTATTTAAGAGACTGAGCTGAATACAGCACCTCAGACTGAGGAAGTCTTTCAAATGAAAGACGAAATGTTTCTACATTTTTGCTGTTGTTTTGCTTTGTTTTGGTTTTTGAATGTCCAGAGGACCAGATTTAACTTTTTTAAACTTAATAAGAAAATGTTTTTTTTTTTGTTTTTTTTTTCAGCTTCGAGCCTGTAATTACAGTTAAATGATTGGGTCTAGTCAGGTTAAGAATAACAACCTACGGTCTCAGGACGGGCCGGGTCAGATTTTTTAGGCCTCAATTCAAATCTAGCCCTGTGTGCTTCATTAAAGCCCAGGTCAAGCTGGCCAGAGAATCACTGACCCGCTGCATGAGCTGTGGTTGTCTCCACAAGAATCATGGAGATGTAGTATCAACACACTGCACCTATATTTAGTATTTATTTAGCTATATTTTAGTCTCACAGAAACATCATAACCTGATGGCTACAACTTTTAAGAATAAATCAACATGATCACGAAGTTCATTTATAAATAATTAATCGTACCTGAGGTAAAGTGTGCACTACAAATCTGTGCATACACATTCCGTCCCACATGGTCTACATGGATCATAGGGAGAAACTTTCCAGATATGTCTGATCCAAGCATCACGCCGTTTGTGGTCACGAGTTGGAATCCTGTAGAACTTCAGTTCGCTCCAAGGGGTTTTCCTGTTTGCACAATTAACCGCACAACTGATGGGAATTTTGCCGTTTTATACGATTTAGATTACTACTCGACCTAATACAGTGTACTGTCACTGACAACTTGCTTTGCCATACAAGAAATGGCAACGCACGTTTACTAACCAGGAGTACATTGTTGCGATGTCTCGTATTCTAACAGTAAAAAAATTAAATGAAATAAAAATAATAATCAAGATTTTAACTGTGGAATGGTAAATGGACTGTACTTATATAGCACTTTTCTATCTTATCGAGATACTCAAAGCACTTTACAACACAATCTGTGCCCTCATGTACCGTTTCATACAGTCAGAGAGTCAGAGTCAGATAGATTTATTTGTCATTTGTATCTCATATGAGACATGTGGTGGAACGAGATTATGTACAAAGGGTCCCAGTTACATCCAACAATAAAATATGAAAGAAAAACTGTAATAAGATCTAAGATATGAACTAAGAAAAACATCAACTAAATAATACACTAAGCACTAATAACATAAAAACATTACGTCAAATAGCAGCACGAACATGAGTCTGTGTGAGCAGACGAGCACGCATGAACACAGCAACATGAAACAGATCAGCAGCAACATGAAACAGATCAGCAGCAACATGTGATTTTTCATATTGATTATCCTGGTTAGATACTCATGAGTCTAACAGCCTCGGGGTAGAAGCTGTTCCTCAGTCTAGTGGTTTTGATCTTAATGCTCCTTAACCTCCTTCCTGAAGGGAGCGGGGCAAAAAAGTGTGTGTGCTGGGTGAGTGGGATCCTTCATAATGCAGGTGGCCCTCTTCCTGCATCTGGAGGTGTAGATGTCTGTGATGGTGGGGAGACTGACTCCGACAGACCTCTGTGCAGCCTTCACCACTCTCTGCAGAGCTTTTCTTTCTGCAGCTGTGCAGCCTCCATGCCACACGTTGATGCTGGAGCACAGGATGCTCTCCACTGCACACCTGTAGAAGGAGGTGAGGACTGAGTTTCCCAGCTTGTCTCAGCCACCTGAGGAAGTAGAGTCTCTGATGAGCTTTCTTGATCAGGCTTGTGGTGTTGCACAAGCTGAGGTTGTCATTCAGGTGTACACCCAAGTACTTGTAGCTGGAGACCACTTCCACTGCAGAACCTCTTATGTTCAGAGGGGTGTAGGTGTGTTTGTTCCTTCTGAAGTCCACTATCATCTCCTTTGTCTCCTTCACATTGATGTGAATGTTATTCTTTTTGCACCAGCTCTCCAAGTGTTCCACCTCCTGCCTGTAGCTGGACTCATTGTTTTTGATGCATCCCACCACTGCTGTATCATCTGCAAACTTTACAATATGACAGCCTGGATGAGTAGTTGCACAATCATACGTGAGCAAAGTGAACAGGAGAGGGCTCAGCACACATCCCTGAGGGGGAGCCAGTGGTGAGGGTTATGGTGGAGGAAGAGAAGTTGTGGCTCTTCACTGACTGTGGTCTGTTTGTTAAGAAGTCTAGTACCCAGTTGCAAATACATGGGCTTAGTCCTAGTGTGAGTAGTTTGTCCATCAGGGTTTGGGGGATTGTGGTGTTGAAGGCAGATGTGAAGTCCACAAAGAGCATACGGACGTAGGAGTCCTTCTGTTCTAAGTGGGTGAGAGCAGTGTGGACCATAAAGGAGATGACATCTTCTGTTGATCGATTCTTATGGTATGCATACTGGTAAGGGTCCACATTGATGTTGATGTTAGCTTTGATGTGGGTCATGACCAGTTTTTCAAAGCATTTAGTGACTATCGGGGTGAGGGCTACCAGCCAATAGTCAGGCTAGTCACCAAAGAGCTCTTTGGGACTGGGATGATGGTGGCAATCTTCAGGCAGGTGGGAACTGTGAGGTGTTTTAAGATGTCGGCCAGCACCTCGCAGAGCTGATTGGCACATTCTTTCAACACTTTCCTGGGGATGTTGTCTAGGCCAGTTGCCTTGTGAGGGTTGATCTTCTTGAAAGTACTCCTTACTTCTGCTGAGATCACTCTGAGAAGCTCTTCATCCGGTGGTGAGGTGAGTCTGGTACTGGGTGGTCTGTTAGGGTCTTCAAAGCGTGCGTACAGCTTGTTGAGGGCATCAGGCAGTGATGGGACTTTGGGACATTGTTCGCACCTGCCTTTATAATCTGTTATACACTTAACGCCCCTCCACATGCTCTGTGGGTCTTGTGAGGTGAATTGACCCTCAGTCCTCTGTGCATATGTGGCCTTGGCCCTCTTAATACCAGCAACCAGCTCTTTCCTTATGCTCAGCTCCTGTGAGTTTCCA